ACTTAGGGGGTGGCTCCAAGCGAGTGTTGGTTTTTGGCGTAGAGTCAAGAGCCAAGTTGTGTACCTTCTTTCACGATATAAATCATATTATTAAGATACCATAAATATTTGTTTGTTGGCATATGGTAATATCTCGTCAGTAGTTACTCACAAACTAACAACCATAATCACCATTTACAGTGAACAACCGTCCCTGGCCCTGTAGACTTCCCAAATGGGATTCCACAGTTTCCTCCCTCGGTAGGTTTCCCCGACGTGACCCCCGGGCGGACTGCTGCGGTATTCTTCTCCCCCCCCGCAGTTATCCGCTTGTCGGGATTAATATCCTCCCGCTCGGGTAGTTATCTTCACTACCCCATCAACCCCACCCCTAGCAGCCCATACCAACACGATACCGGAAATTTTCTTTAAATCCACTGTCGGAGCTGCTGGCGTTGGCGTAGAAAGAGTAGGGGAAAAGCATTCAGACGCACCAAAATTTGAGATGGGTCAAGTAAACCTCGGCAATCATCGAATAGCTACGGAGAGGTGAGCATCGGCTGGACGTTCCCCTACAAGGTGAAACATGACGGTCGTGCCAAAAGTGCCTAGTAAGTTTATCTTACGCTGCCGTACAGTACCCTATCGTATCATATCGTATAGTAACTTGCCATAAACTTACTGTCCAAACCATATCACGAACCGAGTCCCGGGCTCTCAAGGTCCAGATCGTAATACACCCTATAACCCCCCACCCACCCGAAGGGCCAGATGTCCACCGGCAGTCGCCTCGCCCTTACCCCAGCAGAGCCGTGAGGAATATCCCACGCCAAGTCAGCCACGCCCCCGCATTATTTTGACTCCAAGAGAAGTTCACTTGTACCCACACTATCCCTCCCTAGACGCCACTTCAGTGTGGGGAAGCCGCCTCACAAATACCAAACAGACAAATTAACAACATTTAGAAGAAACAACTTGATTCCCCCTTCCATATTTGTTGGCACATATAACACAAGAAAGCCTGGCGCAAGAGGATGAACCTTCGGGCAGAGCTTTTGTCTCTTTGTCACCCATTCGCTACCACTTGCTCAACCTCGACCTATCATCGTACCAGTACTCGAGTACTAAGTGGTTGACACTAACTAGCATTCATTTTAAAAAATATGGGCGACGGTCCAAGCGCCTAACTTTAGTCCGTGCGTAAATAAACTACGGTGCTTAGTTACAAGTGCCGGTACTGTACTAGTACTCCCACGGGTATAGGCCAGGGGGGATTGATTGTACGACGTGCCAAAAGTACTGTGTAGTACTTGTACCATCTCGGGCAAATATCGGAAAAAATATGATGAGGGGGACATTGATGTTATCACACTCGTAGCATGAACAGGGCTGATGATTTCGTTCCGGATTAGTAATATGACGTTAATTTGCCAAGCTTGGGGTTAACGTTACCCCAGGTCCAATCCCCTGAAATATATTAGTTTTAATTGTTTTTTTGCCAAGGATATTAACACCAACTCGAGAGAATTCACATGTCCCAGACATTATTCTCCCCGTGCTGTCAAAGGGTTTTGACTCCTAATATTTCTAATTATCATACGAAAACCTGGGATATTCCTATGATAATAATTATTATGATATTTCCCCCCTACGCCAACCCTACCGGCTAATAGGGCCGCAAACCTCATGGGAGTGGCGGTTGTATAGTATGATAAATCCTTTGGGGGTTGAAGCCGTGCAATATTCACTCGGTCAAAGTGTGATACCGCTATTATATCATACTCCGGCTACGGACGTACCTAACCGTAATAGCGTCAGGCCGCACACGACGAATCTCTGGATGAGGTTTCTGAAATTCACTGGTGTCCCGGATACGGCGCCTTACAGCTATTGCACCTAAAACGTGCCCCTACCCGTACAAGCACTCGGACATAGAAGTAAAAATCGAACAAGGCAGCGATAGCAACGAAGAACCACAAAGAACCTCGGGGAATCGGGTAGATGACAAGTTGGGAAAGACAGGGGGGGAGTCAAGGAAGTTACCGGTAGAACTCTGGGGTATAGTAGTTGCATCTTGATCATTGCGGAATCCAGCTGTTACATTAAAAGACTTTTAGGAGGTCCCAAATCAGTAATACCATAATTCCCTGCACCAAAGCACCAATTCCACCTCCACACACATTCAAACCTCGCAGAACCAGATACAGAAAGTAAAGGAAAGGAAAGGAAAAAGGAATCATCAGTCCCATCTTACATCTTCCTAGTCTTGGTTTGGGTACTAGGGGACTCTGACTTGCCAAGCATTTCTGCCATTCTGGCAGTCTCAGTGCAAGTGCTTCATTGCAACGATAGGGTTACTCGGGCCACCCGATTCTTACTTCCGTGTCTGAGCGCCATTATATCAAACAAGGATAGTCTCACCCTTCTTTCTAGGTTCTTCTCCCTCCTCTTACTTTCTTTATATTTCCTTCCCGATTCTAACCTACCGTATTTCCACGACTCCCCCGTTATCATGCCACCGGCATGCTAATCTATTCCCACACCCATAACCTCAACCTTTCAACATCATATCATACGATATCTCTCTGGAAGCCACAACCCCGGTACAGTACACCACCCCATAACCAGTGTATCCAAACCTGCAACCTCACCATGCACCCCAGTCCCTACAGCTCAGCAAGTTTGAAGAATGTGCCACCCCCCCACAAACCCTCACTCAAAGCTCTGGGAATCCCTCTTATCATACCCGCAGGCCCGCAAAAACGCCAAGTGATAACCAATTTCTTCTAACACCTAAGCTAGACTACTCGGAGTCCCCACGATTTAGTTTCGACTCCAATCATTCGTTTCGACGGGCATTCCCGTGAGGTCATACTACATTAAATTTTATTGCTCCACAGACAATGGATAAACACGGTGAAATGGCGGGGCACAACTACCACTAAGCCAGGTGATGCCGAAGGCGCCCAATGTTTCACACCATACCGGTAGCTGTACAAGAAAGTCGGCCGAAGCTACCCATGGCTCGAGCGCTATTAGTAATCTGCAAGGTATCGGAGCCCGATCCAAGGTGCTCAAGCACGAAAAATCTAGCACTGCATGTCCACAGGCTCAAAATAGTGTGGACCAGATGCACAAATTTCAGCACAGTACCGTATTCATGTGCTTCTGACCCGACTCCGCAGCTCACCATTCCACCCCTCCGATCCATCTCGACACCCCACCACCGGAATGACGAGAAATGCCCCTCCGAAAGCAAGCATCCCGAATACTTGCCCCAGGAGCCGTATTTACCCCTCCGGCATGACCCATACTTCTTTCGAAAAGCATTCGGCCGAAATGACGCCAGACGGCCTCCCATGTGGTTTAGGTAGAATAGCCCTTCTACCAAGTTGGGACGTAGATGTAATACACACGGACCGGCGCTCAGACCCGTACCTTTGGCCTCCGTTGTTTTTTTGAGCCCCATGGGTACTTGTATGGAAGTATTAGGATTCCTTCTAGAGCAGGCATTGTAACCTGGTGAGTTCTGCTTCGGGAACGTTTATGGTATGATTGGAGGGGGGTGGTGGTGTGGTGGTGTGGTGGATGGACGAGTGAGGGGTTTGCCCGGACCGTGGTGGTGCAAGCCGATGGAATCGAAGGATGGGTGGGTATGATAGAAGGGTGGTAGGACAGACAGGTGGATGCGCCACCGATGATTACAACGGGGAGTTGATATACTTGCATAATACCTGCATAAAACTTGTGAGTCGTAGAAGCATCCTTACCACTGATCAGTCGTTTTCAAAATGATAACCCTTCTTCTTATTAACCCAGGTTTGCCTGTGACGATCAAGGCGATATCATCCTGCCAAAGTCCTAGATAGCGACTGGTGGAAAGCGTGTGCACCGTGCCCAGGACCCTGAGCGACGGCACCGACCACCCAAATCGACTGGTGGTGGGTGCTTCGCTGTCTTCCGTTCGCAGGAGGGGTACGACCGAATAGACAGATTCGAGCCATGACAATCGATCCCCTGAACATTATGTTGAGCCTTGCCTACAATCGCGTAATACGGTAACTGTACCGATACCATATGTAGTCGTATATCCATAAAGGGGATAAAAGAGCCCCTACGGTACGACGTCACCGAAAGCCCTACATGTACAGTACTCGTCGCACGGAGTTGTGGTACCGTGACAAAATGCCGAAGGCATCCCATGCAACCACACTACCACCACCACATAATCGAACCTATCCCATCCCATCCCATCACATCCCATCGCATCCCCATCGCATCCCCATCGCATCATCGCATCCCCATCACCATGGACATGAAAAATAATTCCAGTCGGGGAAATTGTCCCCGTCGACATTGGAATTCGCATCAAAATAAATACCGGTAGCCCAAACGGTCCCCCCCCCAACTCCTGCCAGCTGCCCCAAACCAGGGATTAAATCAAGGTGCTTAGGTGATATCTCCCCTTCCCCCCTGTCCCCGCACCACCAGTCCAAGCGAGTGACACACCATGACACCGGATAGCCGATCAAAAATAGTAAACAGCTAAGAACCTACGATAGCACAACCGCTCTTACTACAAGGTAGCAGGAACGCTTACCTACTCTGTCTAACCTGCCTCTCACACAAAGTTCGTACTCGAGTAATTAGAATGCGTTATTGCCTGGGATTATTGCACTATTTTTCAGGTAAAGTGAAGTGAAGTGCAGTATTGATGGCTGAGTGCTCCCGAATCAGGTGATTGGTGTGGTGGGGCGAGAAGTGTGGGTAGGTAGGTAAAGGGAGTGGACTTGGTAGACAAAAACGAGGCTGAAGGCGGGGTCAGAGGGGTTTCTTGCACATGTCTGGCCGCCCTTCCGTCCTTTTGTGAAAATATTGTGCACGGCAAGCAGCGATACACTGGGAAGCGCGACGCAACGATCGCCATTGAGCATGAGGCTCACTCCGGCGTCGGGTGGAAAAGCACGGGGCAGATGTGCTTGCTTGATGATGATAACTTATCGCGGTTTTCTGTGAACTGATTTATGCAATGTATGATATCTCGATTTTTTTCCCCCAGAGTTAATTAGACTACAGGCAAACTTGAGAGGTAAAAATAAAATAAAAAGCGAGGCCGACAAAGGAACCCGTGGTGGTAATGAATGCGCCATCGTTCATGCAAGCTGTAGATAAAAAATAAATAAATAAAAACTTGACCGAAACTCCCCAGCTGATGATCATATGGAATGGAGAAACAGTAATAAACAATTACAAGGAAAGGTTTCCGTTAGGAGTGTGTCCTCGTTCAAACATTACCCGACAACAATAGAGCAAAGGGAGGAAAGACAAAAGAAGATTTCAGAAAATCACCAATATCCCCTCCTCTCCCAGATCTTCAACTGATCCACAAATCCCGGGTTTGGCCCAGCGACCGGTCGTCGGCGGCGTACATATCCCCAAGCCTCCTCAAACGAGACCCGGAAATGCTTCATAACTAATTAATTCCCGGATATTAGCTGCCACACTCTCTCAACCACTTCCGAAAGAAAAAAATGGGACAAAAGAAAAAGACTCACGAAAAGCAATGACAACGCTAGCGCTCCGGCTCCTCCCCTCCTGGCAGTGCACAAGCACGACTCCACCGCTTTCCATGGCGCGCTCGATATAATCCATTGCGGCATTGAGTGAGTCGAGCAGCCAGGTGTCTTCCGTATCATCAATGAAGATTTGGCAGTGCTTTACATTCACTTGGTGGCGCATGTACACGGGCGACTGCCGTAGTGAGAGGACGTGCGTTACGCCGGAGGATAGGAGGGTTATTGGGTCGAGGATTGCCTTACAGCTGTGGGGGTGTTAGTAGAGTTGGCGAGGAAACGGGGCAAGGGGGAAGGGGGAAACGGACTCGCCAAGGTAGAGGGTTGGGAGGATTTCATTCATGCTCCGATATCTGGCGCATGGCAGCGTACGGTCTTTTGTGATTAGAGCGCGGTGGAGTTGCTGGGTTTCGATAGACATTGTTGCTTTGATTGGTATGCTAGCCTTGATAATAGCTTCGCGGCCTGATTGCGAGGTTGGTCGATTGCTTCGTATATGGATAGAAGGATAGATGGTCCTATAGGATTCGATAGACCGAGCAGAACAGAGCAGACTTTATAGAACCGGCTTGATTGGCGAGGCGATGGGTGGAAGCAGGAAGTACAGCAGGCGAAGTTATAAGCTTGAGAGGAAGTGTGGTGGGTTAGGCAGCGATACGGTAAACCTTCTGAGCTGCCGCTAGTTTTCTCCAGGCACAGCCTTAACTTACGTTTAGAGATGTAAAAAATAAAAAATAGAAATAGAAAAAGCAAATAAATAAATAAATAAAAACAAGGATACCAGATCAATCAAGGCAGAAAAAAAAACTTAAGGCTCGACCTTAGTTAGTAAGCTCAACAACGACGAGAAAAACTACCAGAGCGTCAACAACAAGTACGACCAAAGCAACGAGAGGAAGTCCAATTCGTAGAGGAATTGGGGGGGGTTTATATCATATATTTTTCTCCCCTGTTGTCTTCTTCTCATCAACGCCCCCCTTTTTTCCCTCTACTACTCACGAGTAGGATAGAGGAGGAAAGCAAACGCACCCGCCAGTAACATACAACACTACACATACGTTTCCCACTATCAGTGGTCATCGCCGCAAGCTACAGTCTGATCGCCTGTAGCTTCAATCATCGGGTGCCCCAAAATGCGTTACCTGTACCAGTACCACACACGGGGTCCCTCCGTTGCTATCAATCCACCATTCCACAATGATGACTGGTGACACGACGCGCACAACCACTGGCTCGCGGGACACAAAGCCAACGAGTAGCACTCACAATAAGCACTTCCCCACAGACTCAGTTTCTGACGATTACCAGAGGTTGGCATTCGTGGGCGCTCATACGTTCCAGATGGGTAGAGGGTGATCAGACGGGGGAATCGGACTCAGGATGCTACCGGCAATTGAGTTTGTGGTTGGGGAAGAAGGGAAGGGAATCGTTACGTAAACGGGAAAGCGCCGAGCAAGATATTTCCACTGGTGCTTACTGGGTTCTCGAGTGAGAGGGTATGACGGTAACTGGCTGGGTTCGCAGCAATTTGTGTTGGAGAGGTTGGGGCAGTGGTTGGAAAGTGAGGTAATATGTGCTCAATCCCCGCGCAACCATAGGTAGGCGGGCGCGCGACCGGGTCATTCGGAAAAATCTGATAGCGTCAGGGTATCAATCCTCGCTCTCCTTATTTTTATCCCTTTAATTCATTTATTTTAGTTGTTTACTTGGATATTGGACCCCAGCTGGGGCGTGATTAATGTGGGCAGTCTACACCGCTGGCGAACAGCTGATGAAGTATCATACAGCCCAAACACCATACCACGTTTTCATTGCAAAGTACACTTGTGGAGCTGCTTCCCATAATCGCTGATGTGGTTCTCTGAGCTTCTATCTCTCATAGCTTAGCTTATTCCCCCGCAATAGAACAGACTCATTGAGGCGACAGACGGCTGTGCGGTCGGGATTGCCTATCAGATAGCTAGCTGTCGGAGGACTTGTTTCCTTCTCTTCTCCTCTTTCTTTCTTTCCTCGCCTTCCTGACATCCGCGAATAGCGTGAATGACGTGCGGATAAAATGGCCCACCTAAGTGATAGGCTGGTCCACTTCTTTCCATATAGCTGTGAATTTTATTGGCCTCGTTCAAGCCATCTCATTCTGTCCAATCATCCGGAGGCTATGCTACCGTGTGAGCAAGTAAACAAATTGGTACAAAGTACATTGCGCATAAGACTGCACACTAATCTAGCTCCCGAATCCCAAACATTCATTCATCCCACGATGGATCAATCAATGGAACCCGGGAAACATGTCCTGTACAATACTTTGCATGAATACTGCAGGTAGAAAGCGTGGGAAACATTTCTGCAGCGCTTACCGCCCGCTCGATGGTCATCCAGCGGATAAGGTACTTTTTTGTAAACACGTCTGTAACGTTCTGTGCGTGTTCGCGTCGGCGATGTCGGTGCTGATCGCTGATCCTATCGTACTTGTATCAAAGGTAGGCAGGGCGCGACAGGGTGTAAGTTAGCGTAACTGATCATAAATGAGTTTTTATTTTTTTTCCAAGAATAAAAAACCCCCGGTTCGTCTCACTTTGTTTGGGTTTTGACTGGCGGATGAAAAGCTTACCCGCTTGTCTTGCTTTGTTACCTTGAGAAAAATTGCGATTTGAACCGGAGTTTTGTTGTGGCATATTTTGATTGGTGAGTGAAAATTTTTAATTGGTTGGAGACTGACAACAGTGAGATATCGTGAGAAGTTGAAAAGCTTCATTCACGAGGAGGATTGGGAAAATGAGCTACAGAGGAATGGCAGGAGTGGTGGGGGAACAGGTATTGCTAAGAAGGATGCTGGTTACATCCTATGTGGCACCGAGAGGTATTGGGCTAGAGTTTATTCACAAAGAGGGATGTGGGGGAAGACTAAGTGATGGGGAATTGAGGGAACACATTAACGAGGCAGGAGCGAGAACAATCTCGGAACTGAAAGTGGCAATAGGAACGGTATTGAGGATGGCGGGTTGTGAGGAATGTAAGGTGGACAGAGGGAATTTGGCAGGGATTTTTTTTAAGGATAGTTCACCGGACTCGACATTCGTGCCCTCCATGATGGAGGAATCAACGGTAATGACGGGGATGGAGGAATCAATGGCGGGAAGGGGAATGGGAAGGGAAGTATTGGAGGAGCTATCGTCAGGACAACGGGAGATGTACAGGAAGTATAAGTCGGACGACAAGGAGGACGAGGACTATGTACCGGACACGGATATGAACCTGGGGAATGGGAGAACAAGTGAGAGGAAAGGATTGGGGGATAGTAAACACGCGGGAAGTATGATATCAACTCCATGGAGTGAAAGGATGGAGGAGGGGATGGAATTGAGGAGTGAGAGGGGACTACCGAACCCAAGAAGGTTCATACTAAAGGAGAGGAAAGAAGAAGAGAAAGTTCTGGAGACATAAATCTCATTACTGGAAACGGTGCAATACTTGAGCAACGCGACAAAGGACACCAGATAGCTTTGCAGGTCCTTA